CCCCCCCGATTATTTACCATTTTGACTTAAGACTTTTTCAACGAGATGTACAATTACTGTTGAAATTGGAAATGTGAGAATGTAAAATGCTGAAAACGACTGATTCACTACAAACATAAATTGGCAAAAAAAATGTTATCGTATAGGAAACGCTCGAATTCAAAAGTAAAGTAGGAGGAAATTTTCTTTAAAATGATTCGCTAAGAATCTTATCTGATTTGTATACGTATCTCGCCAATAATATGCAAAGATAAGGCTTATCAAATAATTATAATATGAATAGTCAGATGAGACATCCGTAGTATCTTCCAGCAGAGAGCGTTGGAGAAGCATGTTTTCTTCTTTCAACTCCACACATCATCTCAATGACTACAGGTATGAGTGCTCTACTTTGAATCGTCTCACAGAATATGAATTACGTGTAGTATTTCCTTAAATTATTCACATGAATTCTACATTCTATCCTGTAAGACCGCTTTGAGAAGTAGTGGATTTTGTGGATGATATCAAACCAGATGTCATTACAGGGTAATTCACTTTATTTTCTTTCAGTGGTATACCGGTCTATTAAACTTGTATATATTGATTACCTCAGTATATTTTTTCCTTTTTTCGAATCATTGGTATAAACGTTTCTTGCATATTTCACACCATGGCCGTCCGACCTGAGCCAGCAAAACTGAAGTTCTTTTGCGCTGCGTTTTGGTGCAGTTTTGTACTAAAAAAGGACGCTTGTAATTTTCTGGAAAGCAATATTGATAAAAAAATAACAGTATTTTATTTTATAGAACACATTTGGCATAAATAAATTATGTGAATGAATTCCGATACAGATAAAAAGAAACGACACACGCAAAATGATAGTGCAGTAATAACCCCCTCGATTTCCCAGAACGTGCAGAGCGTAAGCTCCTACGAGACGTCCCGGGCCCACTGGCACTGCCTTGGATTGGTTCGAGATGGACCACTTCGAGGTTGATCGGACGATACACGTTGTCCGAGCTTCACTTGGCGTATAAAGGTAAGTCGGATTTAGTTGAATATAGTACGATGACCGGATTCGAGAAGCGACTTTCGTCTGCCCGTGTAGGAACCGCGAACCCCGCTCTGCAGCGACGTGCGCAGGGCAGAAGAGCCCTGCAAGGAGTCGAAGAAGAAGCTTCTATTTACTGTTGACACTTTGCTACGTTGATTTAAAATTTGTATTTGCATTTAGACATTATATGGCCTGTAAAGCTCAATTGGCCACAGTGCCGTTAGATCTCGGGGTTCCTAGTCGGTCATCCAACCAGGAAACCGCGTTGTCTCGAATTTGCTTAACCTTCGTGACTTCACGTAGTTTACAAATTCGGTTAGTGACGCCGATTTCGCGGTAGTAGCCTTTCAGCATTTATCAGTAGATTGGAACCATCCTAGCATTCGTCTGGAGGACCGAGGGAAATCACGAAAACGCCAGTCAGGAGGGCGGCACGGAGACTGAACCTGCGCCTCCCGAATGCCAAAACAGTGCGCTACGCCCTGAGTCATTTCGTTCCATTGATTGAAAATTAACGTAGTCAAAGATAAACTTTCCAAATGCGAAGTACTAGGACTAATACGATTCTGGGTACCCAAAAACGTTCGCCAGCACGCGCTGGGTGCAGCAATGGCAGCAGTGGATCCATTCAGAACTGTCCGGGCCAGTCGGGCTTGCTGACGTTCGTTGATGATTCAATTGATTGATTGTTGGCGATTCCGAGCGCGTCAACTGCTAAAGTTATTAGTCCCGTACGTGTAGTGCATGTTTTCCTCTGGTCGTGTCGGTGGTCTTCCCCTGTTGCAGAGCAAGATCCGGCCCCGACCTGCCGTCGGCTAGCGGGGATTTCCCCTAACAGGTATCTCTCACCAGCAGCTCTCAGAGTTTCATATACAATCGTTTAATAACCTTCATCTTGTATAAGATTTTCAATCTCTGAAATTTGATTCATATGTTGTTCAAGGTGTCGTTGATTAGAAGTCTTCACAGATTTTTGATCTAGTAGGCGTACGTGCTTGGGATCAGCACTATTGTTCTTGGTCTTCCCCAACCTTTGTTTTAAAACAATTTTTGCTTGAACCAAAAAATTGTCTGAATTTATATCAATTTCCCTGCATACTCTTAGATCTTGAAAAAGGAGTGCAGTTTTTGTTTTTCTAAAAACGGAATCGTCCCGAAGCGCCAAATGTTGATTCTTCACTATAAAAACTGCTATACAGTTGCAAATGGCATGTCAAATTCGATGTTGGCTAACCATCGTTTACTGTAAACCTGTCTCTCCCCCAAATTTTATCACCAACAACAGCTAAGTTATGTCTTACGAGAGGGTACGAAGCGACTCAAGTCATGAATCCGCCTTCGCCAGGAGAGCACAACGCTTTAGCGATCTCAGGTAATTTAATATTTACTATTACAGAATTCCAAAACTTAATTACGCTTCGATTAGGATACTTTATGTCTGTTGAGGCTATAAAATTATCAATTTTTGCTAACAAAAACTAGTGGTGCAACATTATCGCACATACTTTGTCATACCAGTAAGTTTCCTAATCTATTTAGTCTGAGCTAGTTTTATGATATTGCCCCATTTGAGACACTTCAAATAAACATCACAACTTGAAGCATGAACCGACATATGCAATAGTGCACAAAAATGTGCATAATGCAAATATTAACGCGAGAGGTCGGGAGAGGGGTTGAAGTGATTAACTGAGGAACCTCTAAACTATCTTCAAGGATTTGAACTGCAACAGAGTGTGTTTCTTCCAAAGAGTCTAAAACAAGTCACAGCACATTTTACTGAAGAAAGAAAATAATGTAATTTATCCACAAGAGTCAGAGTTATTTTATAAGAGAAAAAAATACACTCCTAAAATGCAACCACTCCTCACATGCTCCGCAGAATGAAGAAAAAATCATGAAAGGACGTTTCACCTTATTGGGTTCGTGTGACCTCCGAAGGAAAATTAGGTAACATCAGGAGACCAAACTGGTTTTACTTATTATTATAAAATACGGTAACAGATTTTGCAACTTTTTGAAAGAAAAACTATTTTTAAAGTTCATTATCTCTGCTTGTTGAATGGAATCATTTACAGGTCCTACTTAAAATTTAATTCGATTAAATTTATGCCAGATCTAAGCATCAAGCCCTACAAGTCTTAAAGCTAAGAAACCCCAATTTCCAATCAGCCATAAAATATTTTAAAATCAAGTTTGGAATTAACTTCTCCCCCTACTCTTTGCAAGTACAGTTTTTTCATTCTTATCATACATGAAATTCCTGTTAAATTAGTAAATTAAAGGTACCTCTATAAAAGTGTCCACTTTTGTAGAATATTCACACCAAAAAGGTCATATACTAACATATATAGTTCTAATAATGCTAAACTTTATCAAACACCTATTAATGTTACTCGTCCAAAAAGTTTGATGGCATTGACAAAAGTGGCACATATAGTCACATAGTACTGTCACAGAAAGACTGTTCAGGAATCAGCATAAAGTGACAATATTTTCTCAGTTTAAAATTAAAGAAATTGTATCTCACCATTGTGGTAGTCTTGTGGGACACAAGGCCACAATCAGGCTAAATGGCTCATCCTGCATACGGTCACGTTAGCATCGATAATGTTCTTACTGAGGTGAGAATGATAGACCACGCCAAGTCATCAGTGACTTGAAATTCGTGGTTATGTGTTCATAACCTCCATAAAGGGCACGTAGCACCTTCAACCTAGAAGTTACCTAGGTTTCAACACATCTATCCACAACTCATGTTGCAGCCCTGTTCTCTTGGGAGAGTGAACTACGATTGCTGACTGGAGTCTATACTCCGATTAAAGAAGAGTGTTCCTTCAAGATCACGATCTGGCAGGAGAAAGGGTTACACTCATCCAATCGTGAGCTTCGTTACGATTTAAATTTTTGGTATTGAAGCTCCGGTTGGATGACAGTCTCCCCTTCTTTTTTTTTCAGAACGTGATCTTGAGGGGACTTTCTCCTTTAAACGAAGTACAGAAGTCCGATCGTCTTATTCTCCTAATTGACTCTCCCGTTTCTTTTTTGTCTCTCGCGTCAATTCGTTGATTCAATCCAGTGACGTCACGACGCAAAGATTCGACTACGAGTTGGAAAACTCGGAAAAATAAGGGGAACGACCAAAGGTTCCTGAGAGCCCATAGAATTTTTTACTTGTTCCGTTATAAATCATTCACTGCATGAGAAAATGAATTGGTTATTCTTTTGAAAATGTTTATGCAATAAATTAATTGTCTACATTTGAAATGAAATATGACAGACAGGAGGTCTGTCAATCAAATTTGGCCTCTCTAAAACAACGAACTTCTGTATCGTTTATCCCAGGTCTCGACCCTTAGTATGTCACAAATTCATATACCACGGACGTCTTTTCTTCTTCGAATAGGAATTCAAAATTTTTTACTCTTTCATTTTTTAAATTATTTTTATGCTTTTTTGCTAAAAAATCTATATTTATGTCTACATTTTGGCGGAATGTTCGCGGAAATGAATATACTCAGGGCACTCGAGAATAACGTGGATCACTGCATCTGGGTTCCTTTATTGATTAATTTTTATCCAGTTTTCCCCAATGATTCAGCTCCCTTGACAGGTGAATAAATGCCCGTTTGAGATACGAGGGATGCACAGTAATAGTGAAAGTACATAACGAAGACACATTTTATTATTTTTAAAATTTCCAAAAACGTATTTCAATCGATAAACGATAAAAAACAAATTACAAAATAAACAAAACACACCCGATACATGTTGTGATCGAAGAAAATATATCATATCTTTTAAAGATCAAGAAACGGCTAGATTTGCAAATTGATTTTTTTTCTTTGATTGACACCTCTCATAAAATATTCACATCTCGAAATGTTGCGCATTTCTGTGTTCTATTTCCCTTGCCCATTTGGGATCAGTGTGCGGCGTTGGCAGTGTCGACCCCGGCGATCGGGGAAAGTTGCGGTGCCGGCGGTGGAGGCGGAGGGTGAACGCCCTATTTACGCTCAATGCAGACGACTTGCCGCCATTCAGCCGTTGCGCCATCCGTCGGCGAGGGCCGGGCGGGCGGGCAGTGCAGGTCAAAGACCCGGGTTCCCGCTCCGAGCCGTCGTGCGTCACGTTTCAATTATATCGCCACCACATCTTATTCCCCAAATTCTATTTTAATTTAAGCCTCTGGTATACCTTAAACGCAGAAAATAGAGGAATTCAGGGCAAAACGAACATCGAAGATTTTCGCGAAAATACTCGTACATATTACGCGAAATTATATTATTCAAAAATATACTGCAGCCCATCTGACCGGGAGGTCTGGAAAGAGAGATGCTTTAGGTCATCAACTGGTGTCACTGCGGTCACTCTGACCGGGAGATCCTAGGTTCGAGATCCGATGGTGGTGAAATTTTCGACACTGGCTTGCCAGCTAGGTCGAATTCAGTTGCCGTCTGGAGAAGATTTCTAGCGGCCGGCTCATCAGGTCGGTAGTTTTCCGTGTTTTTTCTGATTAACACTAGGCGAATGCCTATATCGAATTCAGCCGCTGTCTGGAGGAGAATTCTTGCGGCCGGCTTCTCTGATCGATAGTTTTCCGTGGTTTCTCCTATCAATACCTAGCTAATGCCGGAGCAGTGCACTAACAAACGGGCAACGGACCGCGCGCGATCTTTCCTTTCTCACCCTCGCCCTATCATCACCCCTTACTTTCACACACACACACACACACACAGACATGCACTACACTCCCACACATCCCGCTAGACCGGTCTTAGAGCTTGTCCCAGCTGGGGGGTGCCCAGATGGTGAGAGATACCTGTTAGGGGAAAACCCCGCTAGCCGACGGTAGGTCGGAGCCGGATCTTGCTCTGCAGCAGGGGAAGACCACCGACACGACCAGAGGAAAACATGCACTACACGTTCGGGACTAATGACTTTAGCAGTTGACGCACCCGAAAACGCCAACAATCAATCAATTGAATCATCAACGAACGTCAGCAAGCCCGACTGGCCTGCACAGTTCTGAATGGCTCTACTGCTGCCATTGCTGCACCCAGCGCGTGCTGACGTACGGTTTTGTGTACCCAGAATCGTATTAGGCCTAGTACTTCGCATTTGCAGGATTTATCTTTGACTACGTTAATTTTCAATCAATGGAATGATTTGGCTCAGGGCATAGCGCACTGATTCCGCATTCGAAAGCAACTTGTAAAGAGGTCAACTATATTTTTCTGAGCTACAGCAATCTGTCCTCCTTCGCCGGAACATTCACCTACATCTCGTCTATTAGCTTATTGGTCCGGAAACAGATCCGCTGGGTTGTATCGCTGCTCAGGATAAACCAGGAATATTCTAATATGTTCTCTTACTGCATGGTTTCAAAGCTATTTTCATTTTTAATATTACTGCACGGTAAATTGGTGAATGCGAACGAAGTTCTTGATGCACAAAAGGGAAGTTTGAGTTCGAAAGACTTGTGTATTCTGATAATCCGTAGAAAGTTCTTCCAGCGAGCGACGAGCGCGGTGGAAGGCGTCCAGTGCAGCATGACCAACGGCAACCGATGGCAACTGATAGCAACCGACCCCAACTGACGGCAACTGACGCTAACCGACGGCAACCGATCGCAATCGACGCTAACCGTCGGCAACCGACCGCTACCGATTGCAACCGACGGCAACCGACAGCAACCTATGGCAATCGACTCTTTGAATACGATCCGCCGGACAACCTCGCCAGCAGATCTGTCCTGCGTTGCAGTCTCGTTGAGCACGCGGTCGTGTGGTGTTGCAGACATGCGCCACCGCTACGGCCCCATCGTGCGCGAGGAGGCGCTGGGCAACGTGCCGGTGGTGAGTCTGTTCGACGCGGAGGCCATCGAGAAGGTGGCGCGCTACCCGTCGCGCTACCCCATCCGCCCGCCCACGGAGATCTCCGTCGTGTACCGCGCCTCGCGCCCCGACCGCTACACCAACCACGGCATCGTCAACGAGTGAGTACAACGGAGAATAATAAGGGAAAACTAACAGCAAGTGACGTACCTTCTTGGATTAGTAAAGCTTACATGATATCATAATACTACAATTTCTGTTCACATGAACGCATTTCAGACATCATTTGTAAAACTCATTTACTTTCAAAAAATACGACACTATTTCAAAAACGGATTCACCTTTTTTAATGAAAATTTGCGTATACTGTTTAGCAATATTTTAAAACTCATTTTCAATTCTAGTATTAGCAGAGCGAAAAATTGAGAAAATGTGGGTTTTTTAACACTATTTCCTCAATATTAATATTACATGGAAGTACTAGTAATAAGTGAAGCATGTTTTAAATATTATATTCAATATTTTCTGTACTAATCGTTTATTTGGAGAAAATTGCCCATTACTGATTGCAATGTTGAAATATTTTGATGCTAGAATAACTTTCTTTGCGTTCTTGCAATGGAAACGAAGGGTGTAAAAATTATTCAAATACACAGATTCTTACAAAGATTAAGGGCCATGTATGTATAAAATGGTCTGGTTTAATTGTATTGCGGGTTTCATCAAATTATTAAGTTAGGAAGCCGCAGCACATTTTCAGGTGTATGGTCACGTGATTCGGCGTCATTCAACAGGCGCTTGGGACAGGTGAGCCAAATGTCGCGAACGATAAAACTGTGTCTTCGAAACCCGCGTAAGACAAATGTTTAAAGTTGTGTTCATGACTTGGGACCTTCATTACAACACCTTGCAATTTCAATAAACTCTTGGCCTGACAGACAACAGTGCTCCAACTGTGTTTCTCTACACCCAGCACATTGGTACAGTCCCGGGGGGCTCCAATTCAATTGATTTTTGATCGATTGATTACGGATTCCGGGCACGTCACATGCTAAGCACATGTCCCGTAAGTGTAGTGCTCTTTTTCAGGAGGTGACGGTAATCTTCACCCCCGCTGGACGGAGAGACCCGGCACCGATTTACCTTCGGCTATCAGGGTATCCAACCAGCGGGGCACCGCTCCAGCTCTAAGATCCCTATCCGTCTCCCGGAATGTGCGGTAAAGTGGTGTATGTGAGTGTAAGGGGTGAGGATAGGAGAAGTAAGAGGAAAGAATGATAGCGCGGCGCCCGTGGCCCGTTTGTTAGGGTACTGCTCCGGCATTCGTTGGTATTGATCGGAGAAACCACGGATCAGAGTAGCTGGCCGCTAGGATTCCCCTCCAGGCAGCGACAGAACTCAACCTACTGTAAAAAAAAGCCTGCCACCGTCGAACCTAGCATCTCCTGGGCAGAGGCATTGCAGTGACATTAGTTGAGGCATTGACTCACCTGTCCCTGTGAGAATGTAATAGTTATTATATACAGTTTAATCGGAGATTTATTCACAAAGAAAAAGGTTAGGATCCGAGTGAGGATCGTAATGACTTGCAGTTGTTAAAGCTTAGTTAAGCCCTTGTCATATATAAACTATATTTTTAAACAAAAGTTCTCCTTTATTTTGTTTAATTTCAAACAATCTTATGGAACATTGACTAGTGAATATAACAATCGATAGTTGCACTGCCTCCTACAATAAGGTAACTATTAACACTCTTTTTAGCTAATATTTACATTACCTGTAATTTGTATACATTACTGCCTTTGTGAGTAAAAGTGCTTCAAATGATTTCTAATTAAGTTTCTCGACTACTCAAAAGTTTTGGGTTAAAATGAGCTTCAAAAGACGCATTTGCAGATAGGCTCAAACGACATTGTATTAAAAGCTGCTCCAAATGTTCCCATGAAAATTTACGTGTGGAGACCAAATGTTTCCCGTCTATAATGTACCTAAAGTAATTTTCCCAATTCTACAATTAGGTATCCGATAAACGGACAACACGTAAAAAAAAATAATAATTTTAGGCGCCAATACATAGCAGCAGAGAAGAAAATCGAGGCAAATCGGAAAAAAATAGTCTACTGAGGAGATCCGATACTCCTTTTACATAGTGACCCTTCAAGGTCACGAGCTGGAAGGAGAGTGGCACGTTGACATCAAGTCGGGACCTCTAGTACTAAAACTTTAAGTCGTAACGAACCTTCAGATCGATGTCAGTCTCATCTCTTCGTCCAGCTCGTGGCCTTGAAGTGCCACTGATGTAGCACGAGAATATTTGTCCATTATGTATAGCAGCACACATTTCTTCCGTGGAATGACAGTGTGCAGGACGAGCGACTTCGTGTGTGCGCAGGCAAGGGGAGAAGTGGGCGAAACTTCGCCAATCGCTCGCAAAGGAGGTAGAGCGTCCCTACACCATTAATCGCTTCGTTCCCGACTTGGACCTCGTGGTGCAGGACTTCATCTCCCTGCTGCGCGGCCGGCGCGACGCCAGCAACTTCGTGCCCGACCTCGAGCTCATCGTCAAGCACCTCGGCCTCGAGAGTAAGCACTCCCAACACACCCAACATCACATCGGATCGGATCGGGTCGGGTCGGGTCGGGTCGGGTCGGGTCGGGTCGAGTCGGGTCAGATTGTGTCTGATCTGGTCCGTTCGAATCCGATCGGATCACATATCTAATCGAATATGATGGCATTAGTTCTGCGTGGAGAAGTACCCACATGATCCAATGAAATTTCGCATTCGCATTACGCTACAATGTTATCAATTTCTCACACTTTCATTTAACCAAAGTTTATTTTAAAATTAATATAATTTTTTACGTATAATAAATTTTGCCTGTTACAGCTATGTAAACAATTTTTCCTTATTCTTAGCGAAATTAACGATTTCATTCTTCAGTGAATTTGTCGATTGAGCGATTTTATTCAGCCAGTCAGATCGGGTCGGGTCGATTCGACTCGATTCGGCTCGGCTCAGGTTGGCTCGACCCCACACGATTGAATGAAAATCGAATTCACCTAATGTTATCAAATTAATCTACAATGACAGTATAAATTCGTGTTTCAACAATGCAAGCGAACGGCTTTTTTTTTAAGTATTTCTGTTTCTTGGGTAGTCTCTATTTCAAGTGCGCTGCCAAGAAAGTGCAGCGTCCTGGTATTACTCGGGCAACTTTTCTTGAACAATGGATAGACGATTTCAGGTGGAGTGGGGGTATTAGTTACAAAGTCAGCCACTAGAGTATTTTAAGTAATGCCAACGTGTGTGAAATGAAAGTCAAAACTGCATCTTGTGCGTAACTTTTTCGGGAGTTTTAGGTGACTCCCTTGAAGAACCTGGACCTGACTCACTCTCATTTCTTTCGATATTGACAATAAATCTGAACAGGGGTTCTGCACTATGAAAGCTACTGGCTTTGACTAGCCTCTGTTTCGCGCCAACGAAGTTTCAGTGCTTGGAAGGTTGTCATCAGTGCCCGCTGCGAGCTTTTGCCTTCAACTGTTTATTGCACAAGGGAGGGGGTTCAAGGTCATCGTTCAAGAACAGGTGCGCGAGTAATAGCAACGCTGCGAAGTACTGTATTTTAAATGTAAATTTTACTTGTGTGCTTTTTTTTTTTTTTTTTTTTTTTTTCAAATTTCCAGGTTCGCGGAGTTAGGAGAAAAATTAAACAATCTCCAAGGCGCGATACTTGAAAATACACTAGCTACGCCGAATTTGTGTCAAGAAGAAATTATAATTTATCCCAAGTTGGGCGCCAAGTGTACATAAAATGCGAAAGCAATGTGGGAGCAAATATAGTTGGAGGAGATAATTTAATGGGTCAAGCCGTTTCGAATTTCATCGCTTCGGGTCGAATTTAATTGAAGGGATGACCTTTGGATGAATAGCATGGAATTGGATCCTTCCTCAGTATTTAACAAACCTTTTTCTAGTTACAGACAAATGGTTTGTTCCTTTAGACGCTAATTTTTTTTAATTAAAAAACGAATCCTAAATTTCATGATATTGCTCTTACTTCATGCAGTGTTCTATTAATATAAATTAACAAGAACCGAGTTCTTAGGTATATACAAGTGTTTTCAGAATTTATTATTATTTTGTGCTTTGTCCGTTCTCTTTATCATAAAGGGGCATATTTTGTGTCATTAGATGTATATAAATATTCAACATCATCACATCAGTTTAATTCTGATACTAGGCTCATTCACAACATTCTCATGTTTATATGTAATAAATGCATTACAAATACAATAAAAATGATAAGAACTCATTTAAAAATATAGAAGCCCCATGATATCCTTTAGAAACTGAAATCCCTCAGCCTCACTGACCCAGTGCAAACATTCCAGTTCAGAAATTCGGCCCGATATATGTCAGGTTACATTTCTAAATAAAACAGCTTCAAAAAAGTGTTTATTAATTCAAAATGTCTTTCCCTTTATAGAATGCTGGGTTTGTAGTTATTGTATTTATGGATTTATTGTTACAGGTATGAGTACTTTAGTACTTGGTCGCCGGATTGGAGTTCTAAATAGTAATGTTGCATCTGCTGACAGAGAATTCGGATTGAAATTGGCACGTGTTGTAGAAGATCATTTCTGTGCCTGTCGCGATTCTTACTATGGACTTCTCCCATTGTGGAAATATATACCAACACAAACGTATGCACAGTACACGAAAGCAGAAGATGAATTTTATGAGTAAGTTCTCTGAATAACAAACAGTATAAAATAAACAGGTTAAAGGATGCAAACTCAATAAAAGAGTAACAAGTAAAAAGAAATACAAAAGGGAAACACGTTCTACACTCAAAAAATTGCATATTATTACCTTTTACAGAATTATTTCAAAATTTGTAGACGAAGCTCTTCAAGATGAACAAAACACTTCTGCCACTGAACCTGTTAAAAAGGTTTTTATGTCAATTCTGGATGCTAAAGATATGGCGATAGAAGATAAGAAGAGTGCAGTTATAGACTTCATCGCATCCGGTCTCATGACAGTATGTATACAAGTCCAAAAAATTCAGTGCTAAATCTTTATCTGAACAGTTCCACGATTAAAAAAGACTTTTTCTATTCCAGATGGGCAGTACTTTAATATTCCTTTTGTATCATGTAGCCAAAAATCCAAAAGTACAAGAGAGATTATATGACGAGCTTATATCACTCATCCCTGCTGGAGAATCAATTACAGTGAAAGACTTATTAAATGCACGTTATCTAGATGCTGTTGTCAAAGAAACTTACAGGTAACAACAATTAATCGCAAGTGTTACTCCACATTTGCATAAAGGAGATGCAATGGAGATCCACTTTATACGATTTAAAGTAGCTGAAATACGTTTCTTTATTTTATAAGTAAATTGGGTCAAGATACAATTCCTTAACTATACTGACCAACAAATCACGGGGACTCTTATGGTCATTTGAGGAAGAATGTCGCAGCAGGTTTTCTGCCCAAAATTTTAGTTTTCAGTGAAACTCCACTTCCAATCTACATTCTATACAATTGGAGAATATAGCATCGAAAAGGACAGTAAAATTAATTTTAACAACGATATTTAAGTATTACTTACCATTTGTACAGTATAATTCTAAACAACCTGTAACAAGTATTGTACCTCAATTTCTGGGGCAATGACCTCCATCTCGATCAGATTCTTCGTCCAGTCTCCCTGATCCTTTGAGCAAATGCTGAATGGCGACTTGTTTTGCTTCTGGACATAAATGTAACTTCATAATCTGTGCACGTCTTCTAGAATTCAGTGGGAAATATAGTTATTCAAATTATCGTTCTCCATGATATAGCGACACGGAAGTATTATTCCTTCGCGATTTACCCTTGAAAATATATTTTATTGCATCGTGGCGAATATTTTGTTAACAATCCTCGCAAAAAAAACGCTAATTTCTTTCTGTATTCAAAATTCAATTAGTATATGGCTTAGGGTAAGAATCAGAGAATTATGAAAACGTGAACAGAATTCACTTCTCCTTGCAGCACGCCACACAGTTTTTAACTGTTTTTGACGTAAAATAAATAGATGCTCGTGGGCGCGCCATTCAAATGCTCTGCGCTGCTCGAACACTCGCGATGAGGGTGGCGTAGCTTCGTCCTCTCTCTGACAGGAAGGTCCTAGGGTTCACGTCCCGACGGTAGCTGCATATCTCAGTCGAATTCGCTCGCCGAAGCAGCATAGATTGTTTCTTCCTCTTCCCTGTCCTACCAGGCTTGTCGAGAGTTTTCAGCTTCTCCTGGCTAGGGCGGTGCCTCGGTGGTGGGAGATGCCTTGTTGGGGAAAACACGCAAGTCGACGTGTAGGTCGGCCTCGAATCTCTCCTTCCAGCGGGGAAATATCTCCCCCACCTCCCGAGGAAAGAACATGCACTACACTTACTGGACTAATGACCTTAGCAGTTGATGCGTCCGGAAACACCTAGCAATTGCCCCTTCCAGGTGCAGAGACCGCCCCGCGCCGAAACTTATTGCTAGTGCCCTCACGGGCCTAACAACTCATTGGACATTATGGATAAACCTACAGGATCCAAGGATAGGAGCGCTGGTGGCGGCGCTACTTTCAATAACGTTAGTCAGCTTTGCACGATAAGTAAGCTGTGCCAGATCACGGACTCTTACTAACAATTGCATTCATGTTCGTAGCAACCAGATAACTGGGAATCAAGTAAAGGGGACAACGCTTCCAGCATCTGTTATGATAGTGGGGAGTAAACAATAATTTTTTACAAGCCACTATTCGTGTTACCTACGTAATTTCTATTAGGGAGAGATTTTCCTAGCGCACTGTATTTGGCCCAATTGTGGGAAATACTAAATACACTCAAATCGAATATATGCAGGGTGAGTCACCTTATTTCAGCACCTCTTGCAATTTTTGAACGTTTAATTTTTGATCCGGGCTAAGCAGCGACTACCGAGCATTGAATACTCGCACTATTCCAGACAGGTATCCAATGAAAGCCTCACGGGACAGCAACGGTCATCCACGAATGTGTTTTTATTTTTACCACCATTGACCTAGTTAGGGCGTAAACACCAATTCATTTTTACGAAAACTCGAGACTGTTCCCAACATGTCAGTAAAAATTAATTTGGAACTTTTCGAATTCGCAGTGATGAGCTTCGATCAAAAATCTCGTTTCAATGCCGGGTTGCGAAAAATGAACATTTGTCACCCTACACTGACATTTAAATTTGTCAATGACCAATACATAAAGTTTTGGGCATGATTTATGTTTAAGAATTTACACAAATCTTAGTCATAAATGTAAGCAAATACGAGGTTTCCGATGAACAGTTCTTAGGATACACGATTTAAGAGCACTGCCTTCATTCCTAATCTGATAAAGTGGGCGCAATTTGGAAAATTGAACCTCCAAAAGATGTGTAAGAACTTCGCAGATTTTGGGGTATGTTAATTTTTTATCGGTATTTCGCGTCTCACACAGCTTAACATTATCATTTAATCCTATACAAATTCCACTTCTTAATACAGCTATTCTATTAGCATCAGGAGTAACAGTTTCATGAGCCCATCACAGATTAATAGAAAATAATTTTAGACAAACCACACAGGGATTACTATTAACAATCATTTTAGGAATTTATTTTACCATTTGGTCTGCTGCTTGACGCCTCGAATTCCAAATCCAGTGCTTTATGAGTAACAGGAGAGAACGACTATCAGGCGCTTCTCAAAAATCCTATTCCCCAAGTCCAAATCGCCCTTTCCACGGACCATAAAATGCAAATTAGCAATTATATCGCAGATTCACGACCATTTCGGAATTTCTTCTTGATTACGCACTTTGCCGCACACTGAAAATCTTCATAAATGTGTTGCATCTAACGCCAAACATAGTTACTCATTTTCTCAGCGTTTGGTACCATTTCATTTTTAGCGATTGCTAAAACCTACCATCTTTAACAATGGTAGCAATTGACACGTTGACCGCAAAATTGCTTCAAATTTGGCGCCTTGTTTTTTTAATAGGACATTTTTGATGTTCTTTGCAGGCTTTTAAGAGTAAACGATTATCCATTTCAATCTTTGCACTTTTTGGATAGTCTTAATTTTTCTCAAAAAGGCCGCGCGAATTACTTCTCTGTTGACCAAATACTCATTTCTTTGTTCCTTGACGTATATTGTCAGCTGCTTCCTGTTCGGAGCGTCACCGAATGATCGCATCAGCTCCTGGGCTCCTCGTTCGAACCATGTGGAGCATTGTCAAAAATTCTGAGAATCCAGCGATTTCCATTTTAAACGCCACGAGCTCGCATTGTCATCAGAGGCGCAGTGCAGAAAGCTTAGTAAAAACGTTTTGAACGCCTTCAAGGTTCGATTCAGGGTGTGCCCGGCACTGAATGCAGTTGTAACAAGTAAAAACGACGAAATTCGTAAAGAGAGGTTTAATTTCGTTTAGACAGAACACTTGTCTAACCAAAAAAAAAAAAAAAGAAAAAAAAAACTATTGACAGAAGAGGCGTATTGGCTTAAGCCAGCTTCTACTATTAAAAGCGCACTTTTCTTGACCGAATGACCTTGGATCCCCTCCCTTGTGCAATAAACAGTTGAAAGGCAAAAGCTCGCAGGGGCACTAGATGGACAACCTTCCACATTACAACTTCGTTGGCGCGGGAACAGAAGCTAGACAAGCCAGTTGCTTTATAGTGCAGGACCCGTACTTCAGATTTAATTAACATTTAATATCGAAAGAAATGACTGAGTCAGTAACAGGTCCTTCAAAAGGGAGTCAGCCTAAAAGACTCGCCACCCAAAAATTAAGCACAGATGCCAGTTTTGTACTTTCATTTCACACACGTTGCATTACTTAAAATACTCTAGTGGTCGACTTTGTAACTAATACCCCCACTCCACCCGAAATCGTCAATCCATCGTTCAAGAAAAGTTGCCCGAGTAAGAATTGCTCTCCCAACTTTTTCTCCGAGTATTTCGCAGCCTCAACAATGGTCCACGTATGAACACGAGTAGTTTGATGCTTCAGCATCCGTTGAACACTTCTTTCTCTCGAAATGACAGCATTTTATAACATATATTACTAATTTCGAAGATTTGGCACGCATTGACGAAAAACTAAGCAGTATCTGGCCATGTAAGATATGTCTTAGTTTTTCCAGGTCTACAAAAATAAAACAATGGAAGTTTCGATTTTGACTGAAAAATTCAAATTTTTGATTTTGTTAATTCGTAATATCTCGTACCTGATATTACAACAATGTTCTCATATTCAAAGCGTGACATAGCTGCCATGCTTAAGGAAGAAAGTTTTCGTATTCACGTATGCCGTTTCAATACGTCGAGAGTTCGCCTATAGGTAGTCCTACGCCACATTTTCGTCAAAAATAAGATAATTCTACTAACATACTCGCCACAAATTACATATACGTGAATTCCCTTTTGTGTGAATAATGACGTGTTGTAAAAACGACGCTGTGCTATGGAGTCATTTCGTATAAAGGTAATTTTGAAAGCAAAATGCTATGGTCAATGACGTCCAAAGCTTTCGAAAGACCTAAAATATTCCAACATGTGCTTCATTTTGTGCTTGTTGATTCAACATTGTTAAGGGAAAAAATGCAGTTTCCGTAGATTTTGATTTTGTGCATCCATGTGGAAAATAAGAAATTGCTTGATTTTTCCTGAGAAAAGATTCCATACTCATAGAGAAAAGCCTCTCTAATAGGTTTGATAAAACTGACAACTTATGTAACTTACATTATTTAACAAACATTTGGAATAACATACTCTCTTAAGATATGTTCATAATATTAATTGACATTTAAAAACTTAAAATAGATCATTAATTTAAAAGAATCAATGTTCAATTCGTTGACCTAGATATTTCTTCACAATTTAGGATTCAACCTACTGCAACGAGTGTTGCCAGGATTCTGGAAGAAGAAATGGAACTAAGTGGCTATCATCTACCAGCTGGAGTGAGTAATCAAATTTCCAAACTACGGCTTTCACTTATATGACTGCATAATTGATCATGCCAACAGCTACAGTCATTTGTCCCGCAAGAGTAGTGATTTATTATCTCGGGATGCAACGGTGTTCCTCTCCCGTCGGATTGGGAGATCAGGCACCGACATGCACGATGCCTTCCGAGGTTTTCCACCCAGGAATCTCCTACTAGCGGGGCACCGCCCCAACCTGAACAAGCTTTTAAGCTCCTGACTAGTCTCATGACGTGTGATAGTGTAGTGCGCGGAAGAGTAACTGTGCTTAAGGAGAGAGGATACGACAAAGAAGAGGAAGGAAAGATCGCACGCTGTCCATGGTCCGTTTGTTAGGGTTCAGAACTGACAATCGCCATATTCACTGAAGACTACTGATCAGAGAAGTCGGCCGCTAGAATTCTCCTCCAGGCAGAGGCTGCATTCGATCTAACCATGTACTCGTATAGTTTGACTCTGGTCGTGGTGAACTCTCGGTTATAGTGTACTTAAGTAACTGGTCCTGCTTCATTTACATGACTATGCCCAAGTTTCGCTTACAGTGAACTCTGAACCACGGTTATAGTAGGCGTAGGAAATACGTCCTGGAAATTAATTCCATCCTGGAAAATATATATACACGATACTTAAAGAGAGTGTGAAATGCAAAATCAAGTATGGGGAGACCACGGTTCAGAGGCATTACTGATGAAAAATGTACGAAGCAAACAACTGAAAATAATTACATTTTAAGGTCAAATTAAGTTAATGAAATTTTCAGTTTATGTATTTTGCTGAATCTGTGTTAATAAAATCAATAATTGGGGAGAGTTTCTATTAAAGGTTGGCATAATCGGTTATAGTGAACCAAAAATGTCAGTTCCCAGACGTTCACTATAACCGGAGTCGAAAATCCGCCACCGTCGGTTTCGAACCCTAGAATCTCCGGGTAAAGGTTACAGCAGATAACGGCAATGTTAGCTGTGAGCTAAATAAACCGGTTTTCACTTACATACAGAAAGACAATGTACAAGACAGTAAAGCAATTATCGTCAGGAAGCAATCTCTCTATTTAAATGTGAAATAAAATAGAAAAAGTTTAATTCTTTCGTCAAGTGCATATTAGTTTATGTGTTTACGTTTGTATTCACTAACGAAATTTTTTTTTTCCTATGAAATGAGGTTCAAGTGCACAAGTGGTAATTTAAAACACAAACAGTTTCCTTTAATATTTTAGTTTCCATAGTTTTGATTTTTTTGTTGTTTTTTTATTTTGTTTAGATAGTTTACTTCAGTTTTGATTACTTTTCCAGACTGTTGTCCTCTGTCAAAACTGGATAGCATGCACAGATGAAAACAACTTCACTCACGCAAATGAGTTCAGACCTGAACGGTGGCTACCTGAAAGTTGTGCCGGATGGAAATGTAGAGAAAATCTGGTGGCCCCATATGGCTTCGGGGTAAGAATATGCCCTGGTAAACGTTTCACACATCAAATGCTTCTCCTTTTATTGGCGAGAGTGAGTATCTTTTGTTTAACATTCAGTGAGTCACGTAGTTTGAATTAATGAGACCAAATTCAAATTTGAATTTTTTCCTTTACAGATGGCACTAAACTTCAAGATGGAATACACTGGAGAACTTACCACTAAATTTGAATTTCTTGTAGTTCCAAAAGGTCCTATAAACCTGTTTTTACATGATCGACAATGAATATTCATATTTAATACTGTTTATAAACAAAATAATAATAAACGAGCAGCCTGCAGCAGCAAAAATGCGGAACAAAAACCCACAAAAGGGTTTACCAAAACGTTTCATGCTCAATAATGAGAATAAAATACTCTCATATAACTTTGCAATAAATATTTTAATAAAAACAATCTTCAGAAGCTAGTCAAAAAAAGTAGAATAAGTTCGACTACAACTTCTACATATAAAGAATATCAAAAAAGTAATTGTTCCATACTGTAATGTGTGTTATTTTCAAGCTGGACAAACACGGGCTCTCATTGGGCAGGGAAATATGAATGTCGTCGGATGATACATTTAGTTTGTTCCATAATGATTGGCACTCCCCCTATAACTTCAGCATAGTAGTGGATGTATGCATACAGAAATACTATAGTAATGTCTACAGGCACCAGATGGGGATATTGTTTCCCATAGGTAGCTCATTGCAGTAACAACTGTTCCGCCTTGCCTGTGAGCTAATGGATATCGATAAGACAACATGGAAGCAAACCTGGGCAACAGTGGACAGTGTGGTTTCAATGGAGTGGCTGCTTCAGACATCTGTATGACGATAGTAGCCATCCACAAGAGGATGTACGGTGTCATCACCAAGTTGCAGATCCGTGTTTCGTTGGGTATTTGAGTTCAAAAGTGGCAGGGACTGCATTGAAAAACGCAAAAACACTGGGGGTCTGGCAACTGCACACCATCCAAACAATGCCCAGCATGACTATAACTTGATAATGGTGAATAGGCAAATTACATTTGAATTAGAGAAGGCAACAGGTCTATCAAAGGGACCCTCAACACCAACATCATGAGGATTTAAAGAAGAAGAAGAAGGTGTGCATAATGCGTGCCCCTCACCATTGTGCAAAAATTAAAACATGTGGAGATGTTGATTAAACAATACAGTGCAGATCCAGCAGAGTTCTTTCGGCAACCACTCATAGTCAATGAGTCATGGTGCTTCCACGAGGCTCCAGATCTTCTATATTCACCAAATCTGGCTTCTAGTGCCTATGCCCCATTAGGCACAATGAAAGAGTTTGTGAGGGGCAAGAAATTCACTATCAATGATAAACTTCATTCAGTTCTCGAACAGTGGTGCCAGAATACACCCAAAGAATGGCTTGCTACGCAAATACAGAAGCTGCCAGAACGACAGCACAAGTATACAGACATTGGCGGGGAATACCTTAAATATAATCTGCATTCGTTTGTTCAGTAAATGATTCCTATGAACACAAAATTGTTGTGCCAATCATTTTTGAATGCCTCAAGTAACTGCGCCAGGTCTTTGCCCGAGGCAGGACGGCTATTTAGGGGAAGTAGATGAAGTGGCACTTCACCAATTATTTGTAGAAGAATTTTTAATTTATTTTCTTTATCATGTACTACAAGTATATGATGGCTTTAATAGAATCACTAAGTGTAATGGCACATGCACAAATTCTACTGGGCACATAAAACTCAGGAAGGTGTAGAATGAGTGCACCACCGACCACACCAGCCGTTGAGGTGAAGTAGGCCGCTTTTAATGCATCTCAATCTCCAGGATGTGGTTCCTATGACAACCACGATAACAGCAAGGACTCCCAAGTGGAAGTGGAAGCCAAATATATGATTCGTCTTCCGGAATGAAATTTGTTGTTATTGCGTTTCTTTAATAGTGCTGGTGTGTTTCAAATACGAATCCTGAGTATATTTTATTAAATATGAATTTCAAATATGAATCCTGTGTATTATTTCATGTTGGGAAGGCTAAGATATGGAAGTTTTTAATTGTAGATATCCTACTGAATCTCTAAATATCTGATACAAAAATTAAATCCTCAGGAAAAAACAACAACCTTAGTTTCCACTCAAAATCATTTCAAATTATGGGAATCATTCAGGTTATTCCTTGACAATTAATCCAAGTTCGAATACATTTATTACAATATACAGGTAGAGTACCATACATTTCACAAAAATTCTATTCACTTTTCACGTTAAAACTGAAAAATCATAATCTTCATTACTCTTCTTTGATGCCGAACCCAAACTTACAGTACTCAGTGTGTCCGCTAGTTTTGAAGCTTGTCGAGCTGAAATTAAACATTGATATTTTTTTGACATCAGGTAGACATTTCTTTCTTCATCCTCTATTACTCTTATTCAAACACAAAATCGATATTTATAAGTACAAAACATGCCCAAAGTCAAAAAATTTGAAAATTGCAAGGAGGCATTAAATTTACGTTGCCAAATTCTCTTTCAAACTCACGGCTTTGATAGTTATCAATTCTATTAATTCAAAACACAAAGATAAATTAAAAAGAAATAAAAAGCAAAATATTACCTCTTTTTGCCTGATCTTTTTTCAGTTTCTTGAACTCTAGCTTTTTGACATTGTTTAGCTTCTGGTTGCCTTCCAATTGAAGCTGCTTATCACGTTTTTCACCAACATCTTTCTTCTTCTTCCAACGAGACTTTTTACTTTTATTACTTTGTTCTTCTACCTTCACAGATGACGAGATCTAATCACAAAGAAATATTGTGATACAAAACAATTTAGAGGCACAATAATCACAATGGTAGACATTATGCCTTTCTTTGAAAGTAATGAGCGTCCAAAATTGCTGAATTGGAGGTCTTGGATGCTGCCAACTGTTATCCTCAGCAGTTCTGGTCAGCATACTCCAGGAAAACTCAACATTGCTTTGTATTTAGAGAGTAAATTGAGGGGTTAGGTGGAAGAAGGGCGTAAATCGAATTATGGCATTTACCTATAAAACGTTGCAAAATGTTCCTTAGGTGACTTTCAACCAACCCTCCACAAGGTACTGTGCAAAACCCAATAAACCCAATTGTTACCTCTACGATCTTGCATCATTTCATTTCTCAGTGTTCAGTACATCGAAATAATGGCTGCGAATACAGAAGATATGAATTTGTTCGATATATCTAATTTTTCATTGAAAGATGGAGCGTTTTAGCCTCCAGATGATTGTAATACATCTTCAGATGCTTACTTATGTAGTGTTGAAGATAGAAATAAAGGACAAAAATTGAAAACTTTTCCGAAAATCAGGAAACAAGAATTAATGAATCTCTATTAACCTGGATGAAAAAACAAATTATTCTGTTGACTGAATTTAACAAACACATGCAGATTTTCATAGAAGAAAACTATTTATATCAAAATTAGCTTGTTTGATGGAATAAATACATAATTCAACATTTTCAAATTTTTGTAAATCCACATATTTGAGCATTTTAGTGCATTTAGTGTGCTTAATCAGTTACTAGTATGATTTTGGTGCAATATGCAAATGTTTTTTTAAATTCTGTGAGAAATTTTCTTGATTATCTTAAAATTGTGTTTTCCCAATTACGCCCTTCTTCCATTGCAACTCCTCAATTGCACAATACAACTTTGTACTTTATTAATGTAACCTTTCTCAATCTGAGTATAATTAGAAGATACATTTTCCGGGCTGGTAGGCCATGGTCCAGTTGGTATTGAAGGACCAAACGTTTCATCCACGTCTGCGATGGACATCCTCAGTGGCAGCAAGGTCGCAGGCGCAGTGTTTGGGGCGGCGGCTGGCTGGTGACAGGCCAGCTGGCAACTGGACCATGGCCGTGAAAGTCTACGATGCTGAATATAATTGTTTCCAACATACGTGAATTACCATAGTGTAGTTGCACTGGTGTACCGCTTATAATCACTGTCACAAAATATTTGATATTTCCTATTTCACTGTTTGAATCGTTTCACTGCTTCATGGATCTTGCACATCTCTGGACTTTACAATGACCCCAAGACAGTCAATTCCAAGATTCAAAATTACTGAATATTTCCGATACAGCATAGTTGGGCACAATATACTGCACAATTATTTATAATAATTACTTGAGCAATAACAAAAGAGAAATACCACATAAATCTTGGTTGAAAAAGCAAAATGAGGTTCCATCATTAGCTGGTTTACACAAAGATATAACAATACTGTGTTCCAAAGTATGTAAAATCTATCACTGACCACTCTTCAAAGAGATGCTTCAATGAATTCAGAAACATACATTTAAAAGTTAGAACAGTGTTGTAATTAGAAAAGAGGTTGTTATTAAAGGTTAAGAAAGTGCCCAGTAAACTCCTCTCAACTATGAAGTATTTTCTTTTAAAACTTAAAAAAATGTTTGCTGTTCAATCCTTTAACCATTACAAAAGATGATTATTAGGCAAAAGGAAAAAGCTTAGAAGCTTTGCAACCCGACATGACTAACTGAATTTTAAAAAAATCAATTGCATTTCATTAAACATTTACTTAAACTTGTCATAAAATTAATTATATTTCACTCCATACTAAGTGCAATCATGAATTAGAAATTTTGCACTGAATTTTGGGTTATAATATCTTTAAAACTACAATTTCTTTTTATCTTTCAGATTTCATTCTAGACTCAACTGAAAGACTGAAGAGCCAAACAAAATCTACAAACGCTCACAAACATGCAGTTAACACAATTAAATTGCAAGTATTATGAGATTCTAGGAGCTTGAGTACCTATATTGATACCCCAACAAGCTCAATAAACATTTACACTTCATTCATACGCTTTTAATCACAATCTGGAATCTTCATAACACATTAAAATTGTAAATCACTTATGACCATAATTTAACAAGCTGGTTCTAGTGATATGGGGGGTCATTGGCCATTGGCTTCTTAAACCCAAGTCTGTGGGTTCAAACCCAGCTGCGGACAGAAAAGCTTAAAACTCTGGAAAATCCTCAGAGTATCATGTTGTGACTGTGGCTTGTAAAAGAATCCAAAATGCCTGGCAAAATTAAACTCTCTGAATATTTTCATACTAACGAGACGCCATATTAGTCTGCCAGAGAACATCAAAAGCAACTAAAATGACAGAAGTCAGTGTCATTCGTCTCTAGCAGTTAACACACCAGTCAAAAAAGGGTGGGCACATGCTGAGCACCCACGTGAAACTACTCAACCCCACCCACTCCATGTTAAGGGTGGGCAACAGACTGGTTATCAGGGCCTGACCATTACACAACAATAGCAAAATTTAACATACCAGAACAGGAATCTCTCCACCAAGTGAAAGGTTTTCTACTTCGACTTCCATTTCTCTCGGAGCCTCTGCTTCATTTGATTCATCCTGTGAATCTCCAAGAGCTTTAATCACGTCAGTCTCCATGGCTTCAAATGAAGAAATGTCGAATTCCTTGGCCATTGTCTGCACAATCTGTGCATCCACATGAACATCACTCCCTATTTCTGGAGGTTCTGTGTAATGTTTAATTTTACCCCTGCAATAAATATTTTCACTATTTTTATGCTATTCTTTATAGGATGAAAGAATGAGAATCTGATGATACATAAAATCAAAATAATTAACTTTTGTATTTCTCAAAGCAAATTATGTTGGAGTCAAAATCAAATAGAAACATTTTCAAATTTTATGAGCTACACTACTTTCTAACTAAAAAAAAAACACTTTTGTTGTGGCCTTTTTCTTTCCAAGAAAAGGAAAAGATATGAAGTCTGTATGAATACTCAAAAACATATGTGTAACTATGTACACACACAAATATTAAATCATGTAATTGAACTCGGAATATCGAGAAAAAGCTGCAATGCCACACTGTACCCCCCATTAAGTTATCATTGGGTTTCCTGGTATGCCCCTTGTTATGATAGCATATTCAAAGACTATTCATGTCAAAAAATATCACAACTACTTAGTATTACAGCAAGATGGGATAGACACATTTTCAATATTCATCAATATCTTACCTATTCCAATCATCAATAAGTATTCTTGCAGCTCTTTGGGGATCAGGTATACCACCTTTTCGGAAACAGCCAAAACGCTTGGCAAGTATGCAAAAGAATTCATCTACTGTTGAATAATTATCTATTTTATATTGTTCTCTCATCTGAAAAAAGTAAATACTAATTAGTATTCATTTTCAATGACATATATTCATATATACATATAACAGCTCACCTGATCTTTATTTACTCGCAACAAGATAGACGAAGCTGCACTAACTGGATCAATCAAGGTCTCTGAACGTACTGCATTTTTGAGAGCATTATGAGAATTGTCACATTTTTTATCAGCATACACAACACCTGGTGAATCGATCAACTTGATTTTGGAATCAAGCTGGACTAATTTCATTTTTCTGTAAAAGTATAAGTGGAACTCACTATTCTGTTATTATCGCTATCAAGCTTCAAAAAATCAAATCTACTTCACTTGTACCCCATACTCATTGGAAGTTTTTTGTCAACTGCTTATCCTTTTTATTTTAGAGAATGAGCTCTACATTACAGCAGAATGTTAATAGATCAATCAGCATTTATTTATTTTTATTCATGGTATACATTTTCTATAATTTGCAACAATTCAAGGAAAATCATTCATCTGATTAATTTTTTGCTTTTAGAAAGTCCCCAACATATCTCATGCCAAATAAATCTGTTTTCTAAAGTTTTCACAAACCACCTTAAATAAATGAATTTGGAACTATAAAAAATAAATACAATTTTTTGAAAAATGAAAGGACTAGCAGTGTTAGTTAAATCATCAAAAATTTAGCACACAAAATACACATGAATGAACTTGAATTGAAATATGATACTAATGCCACTTTCAAACTTTTGAGGACAATGAAATAATATTTATTTAACTTAAAAATATAAATGTTTGTTTTCTTTTATTCTGAAACTCATGAAAACATTCTCCACAAGACACATTAATAAAACTATAGTTTACTTAAACTGCATCATTTTTAAATAATTTGTAAGCGTTTCAATACTCTCCATCCAAAGAGCCAGTGATTTTAAGAAAAATTAATTAAAATGTCCATATGAATATCAATACAAATGTTTTTCAATTTTTTTAAAACTTCTTGAAACCACAGTTATAAACATGCAGGCATTTTACTGTGAACTGAATGTGTGCCATTCTTATTACTTCATTTTTCAGTTGCATTTTCATACAATTTACTATGCCAGGGTGCCCACTGGTAACATGAATCTATTTTCTCAGCTTTTTCCTGAATTCTCTGCCCTAGAGCATCTTCACAGCAGAGTAAGATATTGAAAGTGCTTTAATTGAAATGAAGTAAAAGGTTGTGTGTCAGTGTGTGTAAGTAAGGGGAGGGGATAAGGCAAGGAAGAAGGAAAGATTGCACACAGCCCATGGCTTGTTTGTTAGGGAACTGCTCTAAATTAAAAAAGCACTGAAAATGTTTCACTATAAACAATTCTTAAAACTAAAGCTAAAGTGTCCCATATTATCACATTTTAGAGTACATGAAGAAAATATTTCTGAATGAAACTGAACATACTTCGTTACTCCAGGAATTGCACCAACATGACATGATCGACTTCTTTTCAAACTGTTGATAACACTACTTTTCCCTACGTTAGGCATACCTGGAAGAAATCATCACATATTTAATTATTAGGAAATTTTCACAACATAAAAGAAAACATGAAAGTGACAAGGCAAACAACATACAAAGTGTTCCTTCCTTAGAATATTCTACCACCATCATAAATAGTACGTAATTCTAGTCACTTTTAAGCAGGGTTGGCTACATGCTTCCTAGCCCCAAAGAAACTTGCCTTTTAAAAACAGAGAAAAAAAGCTTGAAATAACCACAAAACACGCATTTAAATATTCCAAATAAAATAACAAATCTGATAAATAGATTTGATAAATGATATTGAAATATTCATTAAAAAACTCACAATAGATTTGTGCAAAAAAGGAAAAAAATACAACACGAGAACAAAATAAATATCCAATAAAATAGAAACATCATTTGTAACATAAAAGAAAAAGCAGTTTTACCCGAATTTACAATCTGAGTTTGAAACCTTGAAACTGGGAGTGGCAATGGGGAAGCCTTGGATGCATCTTTTATGTAGCAATATTGAACATACAAGAGGTGTTTCAAAAGTAAGTTACACTTGATCCCCCACACAGATGGCAGCATTGCAAAACAAAAGCAAAGCTTGAGCACATGATAATTGTGTTCTTTGGCTTCCAACAGTAGCAGTTTCATTTATATAGAAGCAACAGTTGCTGCAAAGAACAAGAAAGAAATTGTTTGTCTCCCTGAAAACTTACTCCAGCATTTAAAAAGCAAATTAGTACGATTTTTGTGGGCAAAACGTTTCACAATAACAGAGATTCTTCATGTAAATATCATAAAGAGTATGACATTCATTGTCACACCCAGCCATTGTGAAATGGTGTAAGAAGTCGTCATTACAGGCAATAAGTCATGGAGTGCATAAATTTCACCCCAAAATGAAGCAAGCGCTCATGAAATGGAGACACACATCATTGCCTATGAGAACAAAATCTTCCAAATCAAGGCCTCTCATCACCAGGTCAAGTCATGGTTACTGTTTTATTCAATTAAAATTACCTACACCGAGTTTATGGAGAAGAACACAATCATTAATGCTGTGTTGTACTGCAAACACTAGAGTTTTGCTTAAAACTGAGGACAACAAGAGACCTGGAAATTTAAGCAAAGGCATTGTCCTTTTGCACAATGCAAGACCTCACATGTCATGAACAACATAGGATTTGTTTCGCAGTTTTGGATGGGAGGTCTGGTACCATTCACCTTTCATTCCCAATCTTGCGCCCTGCGACTTTCGTGTGCTCAGCAAGCTCCAAAAATGTTTGGGTGGAAGACAATTTTCCAAGTCTGACCAAGTTCAAATATACGTTCTTAGCTGGCTTCAGAACCAAGGAGCAATTTTTTATTGTCAGGGCATTGGACAATTAGTGCAACATTCAGACAAATGTCTACAGTAACTGGGAGATTATGTTCTGTATGTGTGTCATGTATTGTAGCACACTTCTCAATAAAGTGTAGTTTTGACTAAAACTGTTAAGAGTGTAACTTCCTTTTAGAACACCCCTAGTACAAGTATTTCAATTCGACTGTTTAAATTATAAAAATCAGAATTTTATGTGAACAAAATTTAAAATTAATACACAAAAATACAGGCGGCTCTGGATTTTCTTAAAAACAGTTTGGTTTTTTTGAACCCTGCTTTTACTTTTGGATTAATTATATTTATTACTAATTTTCAATGTGCACAGGAAATAAAAGAAAGTACGTAGTATATGGCCTTCTAAGAGGTATCTATGGGTTTTGTTAGATACTTAGGAACCCGGGAAAAATTCCACAATAATTTATGATTTTTACTATAAAAAATGCAAATATTTGATTATGTTATTCGGCATATTCATATAATGTGGTGGCCGAGATCGCTAAGGCCGTAGTGCCGTAGCGATCTCGGACCGAAGGATCGCAGGTTCGAGTCCCGCCTGGAGCATGGTTGTGTTGTGTTCGTCCTTTCACCCCCTAGATTCATAACATCATCCTCCATCTCTCATTATCCCCTTTCTGAATAACATTCAGAATTGTAACTCGAGGATTTATCCTCACCTCAAGGTGACACACCTTCGACAGTCGACCATGAACAGTAAAAAGTGAAGTGGAACGACTCAAGTTGTCCAATGTGGCCAATCAAGTTAATAATAATAATGTGCACACCATCTGACTTCTTGTTTTTAGCACCACTACTTACACTACACACATCTCAAGATTGACAGAAGAATTTTAAAATCTTCTCCACAGGGACCAACTGCAGAAACTAATTTACAGAAAGAGGATGTTACTGATATTATTACTTACCAACAACCCCAACAGTAACTGATGCTTTAACATCTTCAACCCGGCGGCAATAGTTGCCCAACAATGCCATAAGAAGGTCTGCACCCACACAGTTAGATCCTTCCAAAATTTGACGAGGAGTTTTCTTGGACATTTTGCGTTGAGACAAATTTCTCTTCTGTTGCTGTGTACAAGCTTTAAATGGTATTGTAGGGAAGAACTGTCGGAGGTATTTTAACCACTTCTTCAAATTTTCTTGTGGTATCAAATCTAAAATTAAAGAAAGAAAAAAAAATTGTAAAAGTTGTTACATTTACTTCACTAGTTGAAAATCTTTGACAACTCTTTATGCAGCCCTGTGCAATATTTTTCCTTAGAGCGGAATGCTTTTTGGAATTCAAATGTGTGGTGTACATGTGTGAGTGTTTTCTTATTTTTTTTTTTCCCCCTTCAGGTTTGAGATTCTAGGTTTATTTCTAGTTTACATATTACAAACACTCTTGTTTGTGCTCGTTACTGAACTATATGTCACATCTTTTCTCACTCAATTGGGTGTTAAAGTGTAGTATTTTTGTACAAAAGAGAAGCTTCCATGAAATTCAATAACTTTGCCCAGCTAGGAAACACATGTTGTTACCAATAGTTTACTCATACTAGTATATTCATACTTCACTCCATATGTATATAAAAGAATTTCTTTTGAAGGAAAATCGATCTTGGGGTCCCTAACATCACTTTTCAAAAAGCCTCTTCCTGGGTACAATTTTTTTTCTTTTTTTTCTCCCCCCCCTTGAATTTCCCCACTTAAGGCAGTTCTTTCAGCCACTTAAAGAGAGTATAATATTGTATGTATTTTCAATGATTTTTTTTATAGTTTAGTAGTTGCTACAAAGTTACGTAATTTATATCTGTAAGCCTGATAAAAAGGATCCCTGAAACGTCGTCAAAATAATTTCTTTTACTGTTTTTTTAAATTTAAAAAGAAATACAACATTCTCCTGGAATTTTGTGTTTTCAATTTCAAGGCCTTCAGTAAACTTTATGGCCATATATTTTGCAAAAATCTTCAAGAAGTTTAAACGTACATGAAGTTTTAATACACTTCGTTTCAGTTGGGTTGTGTTTTTTTACTGCACTCAACAAGTTTCTGTGACAAAACTTGGGATGAACAAAATTGCAATACAGTAGACAAAATCAAAGTTGCTAGTTAGTTTTTAAAAAACTTTTCTTTGTGGAACAAGCAACAGTAAAACTATTCTCGTATATTATATAACTCGTCTCGTATATTAATGAACTTACCTGCTTTATTCAAAACAAGAGCAAGCCTTTTATCTGCAAACTGCAAAACACATTCTTCGACTTGTTTGCTGCGAGTTCCAATTGGGTCACGAGCGTCTAGGACTTGAAGTACTACATTTGATTCATCAATAACCTGAAATCAAAATAGGGCTATCTAGAAGTAGGACAATAAAACAGACAACCTTATTCCAAATCCTACAACACAACAGAGGTCATGTACATATATTAATATAGTCGGGAATGTGGACTAGTGTACCAGGGGTTTATATATGACCACGACTAATTTTTATTTTCTCGCTACTTCTTATGCAGAATAGAGAAAGTATTATAATGCTGCGGGAGGAAAAAACTGAATTTTCACCACAAAAATTCTTACTGCAAAGTCCTGGTATTGAAAAAGTGGATAAATCTTGTGCCTATGTACAGTAAATTACTTTCTCTATTGCTCTGTGTAGTCATAATCCAGGTTTTGGGAGTTTTGATACTGAAAAACTGATTGATAGCTAAACATCTGTCTATCCACCAGTCCGTCCCTGTGTGGTCAACTCTAGCAACTAAACTGATCAGCTGATTCTCTCCAAAACTGGTATTCCCCAATCAATATCACTGTTATGGCCCCTGGAATTTGATTTTTTTAATTTTGAGGGGTTTGAGCATCCCTTATTTTCATAAAGACAAACACTATGTAAATAATAGCATTCACATGTGTATTGAAGGAACTTTGATTGTTGTGAGAACAGGTAATTTTTAAGTAATAGACCATACAGTAAGTTATTGTGCGTCTGTTGTTTCTACATTACCGTAATTTTAATAATACCGTAATTTCTCGTAAAGTGTTCTCTTAGTACACGGAATATCAAAACGCAACTCTAAAATTAATATTTTTGCAAATTTGTCACGTAATGGGGGGGGGTTAACTTGACCATTCGAGGATCCTTTTTGTTTCTCGTCTATCTCCTGAACTATTCGTGTGATTGAAGTCTGGTTTGCACCTTTCAATTTCTCGCAAAGTGTTCTATTAGTACACGGAATATCAAAACGAACCTCTAAAATTAATATTTTTGCAAATTTGTCATGTAATGTCAGGTACTTCAACACCTCCCAAAAAATCATCACTGGGTACCACTGCATTAGATCTTGCTGGACGACTAATTACTATCCTCCGAACGTTCATAAAATGTCATAAAAAAACTGTTAGGAAGTAATGCTATCTAAACAAAGTTATTCAGTGTGTTACCTTCACAATGTGCTTTCAATCTAAACATATCATTTTTGTACCCTGTTAACCGCTTCCTATACTAATATTTTGTCACATTTCTCAATAAAAATATCCTATCTCTTCTACTAAATGCTGTATGTTGATTTAGCTGAGAGCGCTAAAGCATTGTACACTCCTGGCCAGGTTGTATTCATGGCCTGTGTTGGTTCAAATCATCTAAAACTGTTCTTAGATGCTATCTGCCTGTGGTTAAGTCGGAGGAAAAGGCTGAGAAGCAAATGATAGTTTGTCCTTACCAAAATTGAACCCGACACCCAATGGAACAAACACAAAAGTAGTCATATCCTGTGAGGGAAGAGGAAATACGATATTTAGCACTGAAAGAAAAATGTGATGTTTCTGCATTGAAAGGAACAAAACTCTTGTAAGGACAGGGCGAGCAGCACTGGGTCAAGGAAACGTGCAGGGTTGCAAGCAAGCAGTTGGCTGTTCGATTGCCAAGGAGTCAAAAGCCTGAACTCCACAGAGTTGTAGTCGTACTCTAAATGGAACCTTCTACCACATCTGCAATACAGCTCCAATTTGGTTTAAGGGGTTTCTATGTTAGGAAGCCTTAATTCAGACTTGGAAGGCATGTGGTTGATAGATAATGGTCTGCATAATAATAACCATCAGAAGTGTTAAAAACATTTCAACCAAAAGTCCCTTATGAAAAGGGCAAAAAGGTTTTATAAAAGGGACATACTTCAAGGGACATATGGGGTGCTATTTACACATGCAACATCCTTACACTTCTATTGGCCATGTCTATATCTATGCATCAAAGGATTTTCCACTCTGCAACAGAATGTCATGTTGACAAGGAGCATCACTATTCACTCTAAAGCACAAATCCCCGTCCCCTTCATCTACAGAGGATTATATTCAACTTTGTACTAAGTTAAAGGGTGAAGAAAGCACATAACATTTCAAACCAACCTTTCTAAATTCTTTATAGAACTTCTGCATATTATCTTTCTTGTCTTGAATATTGTTTTCTTCTTCTTCAAACATAGTTTCATCCTGCATTTGCTCATGGTTTTCTTGCTTTTTGTTTGCATCTTCAATCAATGAATCAAATGTATTGGTCTCTTGTTTCTTCTTTGCTCTTTCAAGTTTCAGGGCTTCTTTCTTAGCACGTTTTTCTTCTTCTTTCTGTTTCTGTTGTTGAAGCATTTCCTTCAGCATGTCTTCTTTAAATGGACATAGGTTTGGAATATGCAAAACTTTGTCCTTTTTACCTGCAACATATGCCAGATTAGAAACAAATCTTATTTTCTTTTTTATGTATCTATCAAAAACTTAAATTCTATACTGAATACCCAAAAGCAATGTCTCGTATGTGTTGCAAAAGGTCTCAATAAAAACATCAAATATTAGGTTCATCAGAAATATAATTTCAATGAAAACGTAAGTAGAGAGGAAATGGCACTCATAACTACATTTGACTTACAATAGATTAGACATTTCCCTAAAACATGTATAACATGTCTCATACTTAGCACTATTGCATTAATACAAGAAATAAGCATACCACTTTTTTTAGGATTCTTTTTTGCTTCTTTCCTCACTTTCCGGTTATGTTGACGAATCTTTTTTAATATCTTGTACTTTTTTCGCAAGGGCATGCGCTTGCTGGTTTTCTCTGTGAAAGCAAAATTTGTTAACTTGGACTATTGATAAAGAAACATAGTTATTTAATTTCCTTATGTCGTAGCAAATCAAATAAACAATATTAATATCCAAAAAGACTAATGATCAAATACAATAAGCGAAGTTATACAGTGAGGTTATGGCACTTGGCACAAAAGTATCTTGTATCATAATGACTTTTGAAACTGCGAAAGTAGTCTGATGAAGCGAGAAACAAAAGTTTTTGATACTTAATTTCCTTGCACAAAATTAGGAAACCAAAATTCAATAAGTTTCAAACACTGGAAATACGGCGCACGTCTAAAAAACACACAAAACTAGCACTTACTTAAACACAACTTTGCCATTTTGTTATTTAATGAAAGACGTCACAGTTAAGAATTAGTTTATTTTTTCTTTACATATGTTACACTGTTATTAAACTTCAATGATCAAATCTATCAGAAAAACACGTGCGTGAATTCCTCCATACAGTTTCAGCCGTTCCGCATGCTTCCCCACCTCTTTACTCCCTGACCATTGAAGAAATGTCTATACTAAGATTTTCGCAACTCTGCCCCTGACAGGTATCAGCTGTTAAAAATTTCATCCAATCTGGTACATTAACGTCACCATAGTGACGCCACAGAGGTGACGTTAAAGGCTCCGATTGGATGAAACTGTCAACTATTGATAACTGCTAGGGGCAGAGTTGCATAAATCGCAGTATAGACCAGAGAAAAGACAGAAAGTATTGGTCAAGATAACGGTGTGCGCACGAAATTGAATAAAAATGAAATTAAACTTCTTTGCTACGTATTTATTAAACAATGTATTGGAAAAGTATATGTATTTATTTAACTACGTTATTGATTATCTGTGATATTTATTCTATCAAAACAGGTTGACTTGTGCAATGTATGTAAATAAATAAATGTGTACCCATCCCAATTATGTAAGTACCTACATAGTTAATACATTTTAACAATTTATATGCTTGTATGAATTGAATGTAATTGTATAATGACATAACTGTAAAAAAATATGTATTCTTGTGTAAATTACAAATTGATTCTCGTGGTCGCTTATGACCCCGTTGTTGAAAAGCGACCTTACATAAATAAAATAAAAAAGAAACAAGTTCCACTGATTTATTGACAATCATGCATTTAAATTGGAGAAAAGTTTAACCATTCATATACCCAGTTTATTAAAAAAAAAAATCTTTAATATACATAACGTTTCGGAGACTTTTGCGTCTCCATAATCAAGTGAGAAAACATTAAAATAAGATCAAATTACATGACAGTTACAACTGATTACATAAATCTATCAAGATAATATGTAATACATATTAGGGAGTTTTAGCGGCAGTCATGAGGACATATCCTTAAAACTCTATTGATCACGTGACTGACGCCTGTATACGGTCGTAATGAACAACGTTCAGAACAGTTTTAACAAAAACTGCAACATTGCGTTATGCATTATAACAAAGGAAGCATTTAAGCGTTGCACAGAGAAATTGCATAATATATCAAAGAGTGTAGGCTAGTGGTGAGACATTTAAAACAAGTTATGAGTCAACAGAACAACAAATATACATTTGCATGGAGTTTAAGATTTTGTGACCCTCCGTGTTGAGTATGCAGTTAGGAATTTTGAATCTGCTTTTCTCGAAAATATAGTAAATAACTTAAAACAGCGTTCGTTATGAGCGTAAGACATAACCTATCGCGAAGATATGATTTGAACTCCTTTTTCGAGAATTTCTTTCCTGTCATATCAACATATCCAGTTAATTCTTGCCAGCGTTGTGGAGTTGGTAAGAAATAATTGTAACTGCCTCACATACGAGAATCGGTTTGCCAGAGTTGGAAAAATTCAATTTTTCTCGTTTTCAGGCGTACATTTTGCAGCTTGTAAGGTGACCGTAGAAGCTCTTACAAGTGTGCACTACTTATGAAAGTATAAGGTCGTACCTTACGCATAAGGTAAGACGTGTATGACTTTACGATTCGTCACTTGTCTGTTAGTGACGTGACGTGACGTAGGGGTTTGAGTTGGTCCGGAATGCCTGCCCCGGTTGGGGCTCTTCATTCCCGTTGATGTTGTGTTTTTATTCTCTGCGGGTTGTTATGCACCTCTCCCCATACTAGACGGGGATTGGGTCGCGGGATGGTGTAAGTTTTGACGATGGTTTTATTTTGTTATTGGTTAAGCACCGGGTTATTTTGTTTGGGGTGTACGGGTGGGATGTGATGGAATGGAGAGAGGAAAGGGAAGATAAGAAAGGTAGGAGAAAGAGAGAGGGGTGAGAAGGAATGGATATTTTTTGTTTGGTTTTGATTTTGGGTACTGTTGCTGGGTCGGTTTTGTAATTAGTATTTTGTCTTTGGTCAGTCTTGTCTACGGTAATCGGCGCCTGTCTTCTGGCTTGTCTTTGTGCCCTCCTGGAGTTGGTGGGTGGTGGTGGTAGGTTGGGAGAATGTCGAGGGGGTGCTTTTTGGGGTTCTGTGTCTTGTCGATTTGTGAGTATTATGGCAGGTTGGGAAGTAAGTAGGTGGGTTGTATGAAGGGTCGGATAGGAAGTTACGGATGAATGTTGTGGGCAGGTAGGTGTGGATTGTGGGTTTGCTATGTGGGGGGATGTTGTGGAGGGTACGAATGTCGTTTAGTCGGGTGTAGATGGGAGGTCTGAAAGCATTAATTTGATGATTCTATTTTCCAGTCTGGTGATTGTCAGTAGTTGCCTGTGGGAGGTGCATGCCCCAGGTCGGGTGGGCGCGTAGGTTAATGATTGGTCGGATGTAGGAGTAGTAGAGGGATAGTTTTTCTTTGGTAGGGAAGTAGGTGGTGTAGGAGGAGGGGAAGAGTGCGTTGATTAGTCTATGGGTTCTAGTTCGTGTTTCTTTGGATATGTTGGGGTCCATTGAAGACGTCGGGAGAAGTCGGAGCCTAGGTATTTGATTTTTTCTTGCCAGGGGAGAAGTTGTTGGTTGATGAGAAGGGGAGGGGGAAGGGATTGGGTTTCGGCGAATTTGAGAAGATTAATTGTTTGAAATTTTGAAAGGATTTAAAGATGATGTTTTTTGCTTTTGGCCCAGGAGTGGAGGGTGTTGAGTGCTGTGTTTGGAGTTGGGTGAGGGAGAAAGTTGAGGGATCGGAAAGGATGCCAGGAATGGCAAAGGTCATGCTGCGTACAGGAATGCTTGACACGATGTGTGGGATATCGGTTGACATAGAGGGAGAAGATGGGTGGTGAGAAGCACGGCGCCTGGTGGGACGCCGGCCGGATTTTGGTGTTTTCGGGGAGAGTGGGTGCTGAAGGTGTTTCACGAAGAAGTAGCGATCTGCTAGGTATACTTTTCGAATAAGGGAGTAGAGGTGGTTTGGGACGTAAGGAATTAGTTTCAATTAGGATACGGATGCTGTGTGATCACGGTGTCGAAAAAGCTTGGGTGAGGTCGTAGAAGATGCAGGGGATTTCTTTTTTGTCATGGGCGGTGTTGGCTATGGATAGGGCGAGGTTTAGGGTTTTGGAGGGCCGCCGACGGCCCTCTCGGAAGCCAAATTGGACCGGGACAGAATGATTTGGGGTTTAGGATAGGTATGGAGTCTCGGAGGAAGTAATGATTTTTTCGAAAATTTTGCTCAGGATAGGAAGTAGGCTTATAGGGCGGTAGTTTGGAGGGAATTTGATGATCTTGCCGGGTTTTCGGCGAGCATTATTACACGCGGGCGGTTTCCAAGAGGTAGGGAAGTAGGAAGTCAAGAAGCAGGAATTTAACGAATTTTAATTAAAAGGTTAATGCGTTTTGGGGAAGGTGGGTGTAGTTGTGGCAGGGAGAATTCGTCGGGGCCGGGTGCTTTTTGCTGGTTTTTATATGGTTTTGATGATTTGGGATACTTCATGGTTAGTTGGTGGTGAAAGGTTGCGAGTGATGGGTTGGTCTTGGGTGTTTTGAGGGTAATTTAGATTACGGAATCCTGGAATGGATGTTTGGGGGAAGAGTTTAGTGGCTATGGGTTTTGGGCTAGGGTGGTTAGGCGATGTCTTGGAGGGTCTAGGATGAGTGTGTCATTTGGGGTTTTTTATGGGGTTATTTGGTAGGGTTTGACTCTGACCGCTGTCGATTACTTTATGGATGTCGTTGGGGCATGCTTTTGTCGCTTAGGAGGTCGTCGAACTTTGTGAGCTTCAAATGTGTCAGTTGTCGATGTATGGAGGCGTTTGTAGGTGTTTAAGTTGTTTTTTGTCTTCGTCGCGTTCTGTATTTGTAGAAACGTTTTGTGCTTGTCGTTTAGTCTGATTGTCTTAACGATCTCGTCTGGGAGGGTTGGGTGGATGTTTGTCCTGGGTTTGGGTTGTGGTTTTGTAGGCGTTTTGATTTGTCCTTGTCAGGTGGGTGATTGACTTGTCAACGTCGTTGGGCTGTTGGATGGTGGAGGGGACGTGGATCTTTTTGGCGAGAATGTGTTTAATTGTTTCATGTTTGGGTGTGATTTTATAGGACGGGGGAGTTGTGAGGTACGGAGTTGTGGAGGTGCTGGTGAAGATTGAGTGGAAGGTGACGAGATGTGGAAGAGGTCGAGTTTTGGGTTTTGGGTTGGAAGTTTGGAGGTTGAGGAGTGTATGCAATGTCTAGGATGTCGTTTGGGTTTCTTGTAATGTATGGGTAGGTTTCGGAGGGGCATTTTTAGTGTGATGGATGGGTGTGAGTCGAGGAATGTTCATCTATGGTTTGTCCCTGTTGAGTTAGTTGTATTGCAGCCCCGTGGATGTTCTTGCTGTGAGGTCTCCACAGAGAATGAATGGGAGGGAAGGTTGAGGAAGATTTGGAGGTCTGCGTTTGGAATGGGTATGGATGGTCATTTTTGTAGGCAGAAATGATGATAACAGGTGTTGAGGGTGTTCCGATGATAGCGGCAGAGCATTCTAAAGGCGGTGGTGGGCGGGAGTGGATACGTAGAGTGGGGAATGTGGTTGGGATAAGGATCGGCCGTACGCGCCGTGGAAGTGGTAAGTCGGTCGGTACGGAAGGACTGTGTAGTGGGGGAAATGGAGAAAGGGATCGGGGGTTTTTAGCCAGGTTTCCTGGAGGCATAGGATCCCGACGAGTAATCTTTTAGAATCTGGGAAACGAGGGGTTTTTTGGACGTTTATTCCGCCGCGGCGCGTTCAAGAGGAGAAGGTAGGGAAGCGAGGGGACCTTCCATTTAGTTGAAAATTCAACTGTTTGATGGCGCTTGGATAAGTTTTGTGAGGATGTCTCCTGGCCTTTGAAAATGGTAAGGATTGGGGTTGATTGAGGATAGGAGTTTCTTTAAAATCCATGATTTTACGAGGGTTAATTAATTCAGTGAGGTCTTGGGTGGAGTTGCTGGGGTGGTGGAGTGTTTTGTGGTGAGAGTTGGTGTTACTGAGGAAGTAAGATTGGGTTTGTGGGAGATGAGGGAAGGAGGTAGTGGGATTGTACATTAGGGGTGGTGATGTTGTTGAGGTGTGTTTTTGGAGTTGTGTGTTTTCGGAGGGTGCGGGCGTTTGGAATGTATTGGCGGATGGGAATCGTAAGCGGGATGGTTAAGTTTGGCAGTTGCAGCGAGGTCGGGGTAAAATTGTCTGTCTGGGCGTTTGGGCATAAGTCGTGGCGTGGTTTCCAGAAGCAGAGGGCACAGGTGGTTGGGCGTCTACAGTAAGTCTTTGTGTGATAGAGCTTCTGGCAATTTTTGCACTGAGGAACACGGTCTGTACTGTTTGTAGTCTTCCAGTTTGATACTGTAATGTCCTATGTATTTTACGGTCTGTTTAATCTTAGTGATGTCGCGTCGTGAGATTTCTATTGGTGTATATTCCTAGTGGGGTCATTTGTTCCGTCGGCGTCGCGTTTTGCATTTCCGCTACGTGAAATACAGGGAATTGGTGGGCAGTCAGGTTGTCTCTGATGGTGTCTGTCGGCAGGTTTGGTGGTAGTCCTTTGATGACAAGTTTTCTCTTGTCTCGTCCGTCGCTCTATTGAAGTGATAGGCGACATGTCGGAAAATAGCTGTTGAGGTCGGTGGTCCCTAATGGTGTCATAGTCTGTCTCTGATTCTGTTGTGCGCCATTACTGTCTTGGGAGTGATGATGATTTCAGTCCTAGTGCCACTTTGTCCGTTGCTTGTCCGTTGGAGTGGTGCAACAAGTCTTTTGTAAGGTCATTTGGCAAAGAATTGAGTCCAAGTCGATTCGAAATTGGCCTATTTTTGGTCTAGTACCGGTAGGTTTGGTTGATGTCATGATTTGGGAGGTGGTGGTGTTCTTTTGAGGTCGTGCTTGGTTGGGGGGGGTGTTTCAGAGTTTCTGAGTTGTTGCTTTGTCTTTGATGGAGAGAGGGGCGAAGGAATTACTGAGAGATGTCTTGAGGAGGTGTGGTGTTAGTGGGTCGAAAAACTTTAGGGTAGGGCATAAAAGGGCCACCCTGGTCCAGGGAGTTTTTGGGTGCGCATGGAGGGCGTCGTTGGGGGAGGGTGAATGATCCCGCTTACGCGGGTCAGTTGGTAATCATGGTGGGTGCAGTTCCCGATGGCAATATTACCCAGTCCTTTGTTGGTTGGTGGATCGCCTGCAGAGACAGCATCCATTCGTTCGTCCTCTATTCCGCTCATCTGAGCGCGCGGCCGCAGCCGCGGCTGCGTTCCGCTTCTCGATGTAAGTTCCTGTAGGGCTGCGCGAAAATACTTCTCTGGAAACCTTAGAGAAGTCAAACTGCTTCTTTCTGTGACGCAGGTCGACGTTTGGTGCCGGCCCCGATTCCTCCTGCTGCGTGCCGCAGCGGGATACGTTTGTCCCTGCAACTTGGTAAAAGATTTTCCAAGTCGAGAGAACGAAGAAAGTATCACTAGTCCGTATAGGCGGTCGCACCGTATAGCGGTCGCACTTGCTCTCGACGTCCGCCTCCGACGGAGCACTGCTAGTGAATAGTCTGTTAGTGCAATAACGCCGCTACCATACGCGTGGCGCCAAAACTCTCTATTATATGAACATCACCCTACTGACGTCACTGTAGCGACATATAAGCTCCTGATTAGTTTAAACCGCAACAGCTGATTTACGTCAAGTACACGAGTAAATAAATCGTACTATAAACAGTTGATTTAATGAGCTGCGTTAAAGCTTTTAAACAAATAAAGTCTTGAAGGTCCACACAATTTTAGTGGCTCATGCATATTATGTTGCTGTTTATTCAGCATGTAAATTACAACATATTTTTGTGAGCTATGCCCTTTTTAGTGAATTGTTTACATTAAAGCAAAAATGTGGAAAATATACTTACCTTAATAGGTGAAACATCTGAGAATGTTTAGATGTTAAGCCATTTGAACTGCGAATTATGAATGTGGCGTTACGTGTATGTTGACTTGATATAACAAACTAACTTTTCTCGTTTCAAAGTAGAAATCCACTTTTGTCCTCTTTTTTCTGTGAATACTATAATTTTACTTTCCTGATTTCTGGAAATGGTAGAGAATCTTAAAAAGCTTACTCCGTTTCTCCCGCCCCCGTTTCCCCAGACCAGTACGTTACCCAACATGGTTACCATGAAATTACAACTTTATTTTGTAGAAAAAAGAACTTCTCACTGCAAGAAAGTGTGCCTACATAAAAATAAAAGCATTTTAAACCGTTATAGGCAGAGGAAAATCTCGTACGAAGTATGATCTCGACGTACTAAAAGAAAATCCACATGTATACTGTACTTCAACCATTAGTTGCGGCATACCAGCAACTGGCAAATGCAATTTGCCGCTTGCCACACAGAGGCGACGGTGCTGCCCTCAGAAGCTCTAAAAGTCACGAGATTTGGACATTTCTTAATCAAGCTTCTGAATAATTTGCGAAAGTTTTATATTACTGTGCAAACACCATTCCGCCTCGTTCAAAGAAAGCAATTTTCATGTAACACACCTTAGAGTATTCACGAAAGAAAATTAAATTCAGGAAATAACTAAGACCATATAACCACTACGCGCACGTTTTGTTGAACTCTCCTTTTGCTAGTAGTAGTAGGAGTAGAGCCCGAGCCCCAGAGAGTAGAGCCGAGCCCGATGTGTGTTTCTATTTTATTAGCAATCGAAAAGTATTAAATTTGCAGTATACGTTTACCAATGCAAATAAGTTTTCTATAACTCGGGAGCGAATTCGTCTAAATTTTTAAATGTTGCTAATCGTATTTTTTAAATATTATTATTATTATTATTATTATTATTATTATTATTATTATTATTATTATTATTATTATTGTTATTATTACATTGTTCTGTTTTTTTCTCAGCTATTTTCACCGGTAAACATGCTCAGCTTCACCAGAGTTCTTCTGGGAGTAGGTTCGGTGGCCGAAAATGATGTTCATCTTATATCTGGGCTTAAGATGTACATTTCTTACGATATAAGATGTTTGCAAAAGAAATGTGCGGTGTCCCATGTTCAGGATGTTTTTGGGTTGTTGAAGTGCCGTCACGTTTTTTAGGTCACAACACAGCACCCAAGTTTTACTGACAAGGCCTTTCGCCAGAGGTGGATTTACGCATAGGCACAATAGGCACGTGCATACGGCGGCAAATTTTCAAAGGCGCAAAATTTTCTTGATATTTTCTAAAACAAATTTAGGTTCTCTAAAAGCTATAACAGCATAAATCATATTTTTATTTTAAAAATGATTTAAACGAGACTAAAACCGCCCCCTCAACCTTTGATTTATAAATTAAGTTTGAATTTCAAATGGGGACATTTTCAGTGTTACAGAATACATGAAAAGAATTAGCCAACGACTTCTGATTGATTGATTGATTAGAAAGAATTACATTCTTAGAGTAAGGAATTTGAATTAGACAATCAGAAATCGCTGACGGATTTCGCCATGCATTCATATTGCGCTATATAGAAAGTAGCGACATCTATTACTTCTTGAGTTAGTTCTAGAAGACGGATCTGGAAATAACCCTTTTCTTTTTTTGTTACTATTGTTGTGTATCGTTTATTGTAAGAGCCCGCTGAGTAAAAATGATATTTTTTTTTAAAAAAAGGAGTGATTATCGTAAAAGGCTCAGCAGAAGTCAATATGCAAAAATCCGAAAAGAAAAGGAAGAGAAATGTCAAAAAGAAATTGATAAGACAAAAAAAAATTGATGAATTCTTTAAACCTATATGTGAAAGTGATCACTGCTGCAGCTCATTCGACAATTCTATTACTGAGTTAGTATAAACAAATAGATAACATATTTAGTTTTCAGCTTTTATATTTTTTCCATGTACTAATAACTTGTGATAAATGTTAACATTAATATATTTTTAATGCAGAGTAGTGTTGCTAAAATATTCTCAAAATGCAAAAAATGTTTAGTACAATGATTAGAAATTAGATATTATTGACGTTTTGTTGTTGTATTCGTTAAAATGAACTATATCTTAATATAGAATTTAAATAAATTAGCATAAAATATGTTACTATACTAATTATATTACTAAACTTTATTTTATATAATATGTAACAATACATATAATACTTTGACTCTTTTATTTATTCAGGGTTATCACTGAATCTAATAATGGCAATCTGCAAAGTTCCAAACAGCTAAAAATGAAATGGTTCCTCAAGCAATAGAAAATATAACTGCGATTGATTATGAGTCGACGATTCAACCGATGTAAATAGTTTAAGCATTTTTTGTATAATTCATTAAACCATCTATACATATATTATAATCTTTCTAGAATATTTTATATACTAATAATTTATTATTTTCTTTTTTAATTAAATAAGATTTCTACCGAATGTATACAACTGCAAGAACATAAAAGTGATGAAACCATAACTTCGACTGATCGTTTTTGTTGGAAAAGCGATCTAGCTTTGTGGTCTATTAATGAAGCTACACGTGATTATGTTGCCAAGCATGGGTTCGAACAAAACAAAAACGCTGACTTTTCTAAATCAAGAAAAAAATACAAGGATGGCAAAGTTCGTTACTTAACGTCGAATATGTTTGAGTATACGCATATCAGTGAAGAAAAAATGCCTCGAAAGTGGCTTGTTTACTCTTCCCCCACCCCCCGTTTCCCATCAAGTCGCTGTCCAACGATCCTCGGCCTTCCCCTATGGAGCCTTCGCGCAGTGGCGGACGGTGGGTCCAACATTTGGCGACGCCCAGGCACATTCAGGCACGGAATCATATCGTGAAATTGGAAGTCAATGACCTTTGCTTTATTGGTAAACTGCTATTAGCGACATTCCAAATAAAATAATTAGATTTAATATTTCTCTTCTTTTAGGATCCCTTCCCGTGAAAACAGTTCTTCCAATTAATATGTCCACTGTAGTACTGCAACTGCCACACAGAGAGTATATTGCCACATATCGCATGCTGCCACATATGCTGCCACATATCGCATCGCGACCACAGAGCACCTACTGTCTACGACGGCGACGACAACACGCCCCAGGGCCGGTTCACTCAATGTTAAAAGGCGGGGGACAAGCTTGTTTCCTCAGTCACGGGCCTGGTGCAGATAGCGCAGCTGTTGCGTTTTGGCGCGTTTTCAAAGTAAGGTTGTGCGAATTAATTGTGGTGCGTGTAGGGAATATCAAAGAGTATTATCTGCTTGTCTTATGATTCAGATTAACTTGATTTAAATAATATTTTTAAATATTGTATTAGATGTTTTTACTTAAAACCAAAATTTAAAGTGATTTATTTATCCTTAATTACTTTAAAAACAGTAAAAAGTGAAAACAAGAAGTTTTAAATTGATCATTTCCTTATTGTTTGTTTTAATTTTTTTTTCACACAGATACTATACATTTGAGGGGCTGGTGCAATTCCGCCCTCACCAACAAAATCTTTAAATTTGAGTACTTATAGTTTCATCACTTCTCATGTGTTCACATTATCGAATAAGTTTGTAGCAACACCTGTTAGCATGGTTCAAAAAAAAGGCATTCTTCTCCCAAAAAAAATTTCCTATCTTTTCTGTAATATTACCTGAATCAAAAAACCTCTTACGGTTGAAAACAACTGATTTCATTAAAAACTATTGACACACCCTGCACACGCCTTCACAGAAGGCCCGACGCGCGAGAACCTCCGCGGAGAGGAGAAAATGAAAACAAGAAAGCCTCCGTGACAAACCAGAGCTGGACAAAACGAAACTACTCTTTTCTTATTGGTTGAGGGTCGTTGTCATGGCAACAGGAGAGACGCGCGTCAGCTTGGATCGCCGGCATCATCATCCTGCAGGCACAAGCAGTGATAGAACTCGGTGGTGCTACCTACATGTAACGCATAGAACTGCTTGGCTCCATCTTGAATCGTAACGCTATGTTTGCGGTAAAGAGAAATTACTTGTACCGTCACTAGTTCAATTTGTCGCCACCACGTAGCAGCACCAAAATAAGTCAAAACAACATTACTAATGTCTGAACAAGCCCGATTTTCACCGAGTAAACGACATATGATTTGTATTTAATATAGAATATACACTACGAAGCCTCTTTGGAAAAAAAATTGAAAATGAGTTTTGGATTTCAACGAAATGCATGGTTTGAGATCCCCTAGTACCGATTTTTTTCTTTCTTTTCAGAAGGTCCGTCTGTCTGCACA